AGTGGTATTTTTGCAAGTGGACACCTAACTGACATTCTTGCAAATGTATACACCAAAAATAGTATTTTTGCAATTGTTTCAAAAAAATTGCATAGAAAAAAAAATTAAGTTTTAAGTGGTCTTTGATTTTGCAATTTTTTTGGGGGCAATTGCAAAATGCAATTATGTTGACAACAATTATCTTTTGGTTGTAAAACGATTTCCCGGGACCAGTTCATATGTTTTTGGTTGTTTTGATTAATGTTTGTAAAACAATTATTTTACGATTTTAGTCTTTTAGAGGTCTCACCACAAATTTTATAAAACTACAACAACATAATCGATGGATTAAATTTACAACAATTTATCTATATCCACAGTAAATCATAATTTATATTAAAGAAATTATTAAAACAGTGTACGGACAAGTAATGAGCTCGGAGCAAGAAATCCCAAATCGGCGTCGTTCTCTGCATGGACGGCCACTTTTGTTTCTTTCTTAATCTCCATCGCGGAGGCAATCGCCGTGATGATGTCACGTGATTACATCAGCTACATTTTTACGGCGGACCCTGCTGTGGCAATTGCCGTCTCTGACCTTTGTCCTTTACTCGCTGTCACCACCATTCTCAACGGAATCCAACCAGTCTTGTCCGGTATGCACGTGCAATTCATTTTTGAGTTTATTAAACCGGAAAAAAATCACGGTATATAAGTTAACCGAACCGAACCGAACTGAACCAATTAAATTATTGGTTTGGTATATTGTTTTGCAGGAGTGGCAGTAGGATGTGGATGGCAGGCATACGTTGCATATGTGAATGTGTGTTGTTACTATTTTGTTGGGATTCCTCTTGGCTGTGTTTTAGGTTTCACTTTCAATTATCAAGCCAAGGTTCGTTTCTTTTAACTTTTGTAAATATACTTTAGTAACCATTAGAGACTAAAATCCCACATCCAAAAGTTGAAAATGATCATAAACTAAAATCCCAAATCCATATTCTAACAGTGATATCTTTACAAACAAACAAATTCATAGTGGTACAATAATTGAAATACTTTTTATAAGTGAAATTTCAAAAAATGTCATTTTTCAAATGTCATTTTACAAAAATGCCACATTTTTGAAATCTTTACAAAAATGCTATTTTTTCAAA